TGGTGTCATGAATGGTAATTTTGGGTTGTTGTCTACTGCTATTGGTTCATAGTGCAAAGAACACCTTTTAGCATTTTTTGTAAAGTTGGTCTGGTCATCACAAGTCCCTTCAATTTCTGTTTATAAGGAAATGACCCTATTTTGTCATTGTATTTGAGAAACAACTTTGCTGGGTATAGGACTGTTGGTTGGCAGTCTTTTTCTTTCAGAGTTTTGTATTTGTCATCTAATTGACTTCTTGCTTGCATGGCTTCTGCTGAGAAATCAGAGCTTAGTCTTTTGGTTCTCTTTTGTAGGTATTTTTGGCTTTTTCCTGAGCTGCTCTCAGGATTCTTTCCCTGTCTTTGACTTTGGAAAGTTTGGTTATGATATGTCTTGGTGATTTTCTTTTGGGATCTAACCCATTTGGGGCTCGTTCATCTCCTTGTATGCTTATCTCCTCATCTTTTATGAGGTTACAGAAGTTTTCTTTCAACAACTATTTGACAATTTTCACTGTGCTTTTTATTTTCTCTTCCTGTTCATAAATTTCAGTCACCTATAACTTGTTCCTCCTCATGGTATCCCACATAACTTTTAGGCTTTCTTAGGACTTTTCCTTTTTTTCTGATTGTTATTCTTCAAAATATTGAGATATTTATCTTCAAGTTCACTAATTCTGACTTCCATTGCTCAAATCTTCTCCTTTGTCCTTTCAATGTATTGTCCATTTCTGAAATCTTAGTATTAATCATCTGAATTTCTAGCTGTAAGTTTTATATTTAAAAATTTACATGTATTTTTTCTGTTCTTGTAGTGTTTTCCTGAATTCTTCTAAAGCTTCTTCTGTGTTCTCTTTAGTTTCCTTAATCTTTCTGTCAATCAGTTGAAGGTACCAATATATCATTCTTTTGAATTTTTTTCCAGTTCATTATCATTTTTCCCTCAGAGATGTTTTCTGTCTCTACATTTTGGCCATTTGTGCCATTTGCTCTTGCTTCTTTGTGTGAGCTAAAATTGTGTGTTGTCTTTGGGGCATTGTGGGGTTGTCCTATTTGTAGAACAAACAGTGCAGTTGTTGGGGACTCCTGCAATTCAAGGAGTTAATGAGGTGGTTGTGGACAGGAGGTGACAACAGAATTCCTGGCCTTAAGAGGAGTTTCTATTGGCCTTGATGTTATGTTCAGGGCACACAATCTGAAAGTAGTTTGTATGGGGCCTTGATACTGGTTTCAGTGTCTATTAGGACCACAGGGAAGCGTGGGGCAGGGTGACTGGTTAAATGTTGGTCTGGTGGCTCTATTGGTTTTGTAGGTCTGTAGCCAAGCCCACCTGAATCCAGGCACCAATGCAGCATACCAAAGTGGCACAGCTGGCCCCCACCTCACACTGATGTAGCTCCTGGAGAGAGAGTCTGTGCTGGGAATGGATGAAGGTGGGATCTTGCCATACCTCTGGAAACCAGGGGAGTGTGGGGGAAAAGAAGTCACACCTTTTCTGTCATCTGCACAAATCTGCTCTGCCAGGCTTCACCAGTCAGTCTCCCTCTCTCGCCGTCCTTGGTCTTTCTTTCAAGCAAGTACTACATCCGCGTCTCTAACCTTTCTTCAGGGTGCCAGAATTTTCATCTGTGCCTGTTTTATTTGGTCTCTCATATCTTTGTCGTAGAGGGTCCATGTAGTGTGTCTGCCTAGTCCACTGTCTTGCTGGAATCCCCTTCCTCTCATTTCTTCATCTATTTGTTTAAAAACCCCTATGTTTGATATCACATTGTTCCCTTCCATGAGTTCTTTGTTCAAGGAAATAGTTTTTCTAAACAATTTCTTCTTAGTAGCATTTACATTGCTAAAATTGCTATTACAGAGTCTACTCAGCCCAGTAGAAAAATGAGAGAATATAGTAGACTTTGGAGTCCTGGTATAACACTGTAGGATAATGAACACAAAAGATTTATTGAGATACTGACAGATACATCTCTGGACAGATGACATAATCCCTGAAATACTTAAAAAAAACACCTGAACCCACTCAGAAAGTTTATTTTTCCTAATGAATAACATATATTCTCCTAAATATCTCATTATCTCTAAAACTGTGAGAAACTTAAAAGGCTTAAATTATAATAACTTAAGCCCAATGTCAATCATAGAAATTGTGTTTGCAGAAAGCTCCAGAAGGGCAGGGATTTTATTTTTTATAAGATCTTTACTGTTTAGAATAGTATCTGGCACAAGGTTATTTATTGTTCTTAGGTACCATCGAGTTGGTTCTGATTCCTAGAGACTGTATGTATGTACACCGGAACAAAATACTTGCCTGTTTCTGTGGCATCTTCACAATCTTTCCTGTGTATGAGTCCACTGTTGTACCCACTGTTTCAATCCATCTTGTTCAGGGCCTTCCTTTTTTTCACTGACTCTACTTTAGAAAGCATAATGTCCTGCTCCAGAGACTGGTCCTTTCTGATGACATTTATAAAATGTGGGAGATGAAGTCCCACCATCCTGGCTTCTAAGGAGCATTTTCACTGTACTTCTTACAACACAGCTTTGTTTGTTCTTTTGGCAGTCAATGGTATATTCAACATTCTTCACCAACACCATAATTCAAAGGCATCAATGCTTCTACGGTCTTCCTTATTCATTGTCCAGGTGTCTCATGCATGAGGCGATTGAAATTACCATGGCTTGAATCAGGCACACCTTTGCTCTTTAACACTTTAGCACATGGTTGTTAAGTATTGTCAAGTTGGTCCCAACTCATACCAACTATGTTTCTGAGGAGCAAATGGTGTTTTGAACCACTGACCTTGTAGTTAGCAGTCTAGTGCTTACCTACAAGGTGGTGGTGGTATGCTGGTGAGTCAGGTCCGACCCACAGCTGCTCTGTATAGGGTTTCTGAGGTTGTCGGTTTTTACGGGAACAGAAAGCCTCATCTTTCTCCCATGGAGATGGCAGATTCAAACTGCTTACCTTGCGGTTACCAGCTAAGCCTATAGCTCACTATGTTAACTAGGGCTGTTTTAAGCACGTGGTCGTTGTTAAGTACTGCCGAGTTGGTTCCAACTTGTATACAGATAAGGTTTTCGAGGAGCTGGTAGGCTTGAACCACTGACATTGTGGTTCCCAGTCCAGTGTTGATCCTACAGCGCCACATCAGGGGTCCTAGCACATTGTTAAGCACCATCAAGTTGGCTGACTCAGAGTGACCCTATATATAGGGTTTCCAAAGGAGCAACTGGTGAGCTTGAACTGCCGACCTGGCATTTCAAACCAACTTTGCAGTCCAGCGCATTAACCACTCCAGCACATGGTTGGCATCTATACTGAATGAATGAAAAGAACGGTTATACATGCTACATGTTTCCATATGTAATGTTTCTTTTATCCCATTAAACTTTCTAATCTCAAAACTTTCCTCTAAAAGTGAATGACTAAGAAGATATTACTTTGAACATGTTATCAGGAGGAATCCAGTCCCTGGAGAAGAACATCATGCTTGGAAAAGTGGAGGGTCAGCAAAAAAGAGGAAGACCCCCAACAGATGGATTGATACAGTGGCAGCAACAATGGACTCAAATATGATTGTGAGGATGGCACAGGACTGGGCAGTATTTCATTCTGTTGTGCATAGGGTCACTGAGTCAGAACCGACTTGATGGCACCTAATAAGATGGTATTAATACCAGTTTAAAACATTTCCTCTCTTATTACTTGCTAACCTGTAGTTACAATATTTTTTACTTCAGTATTTTTACTAGTTAAGGAGCACTGGTGGTGTAGTAGGTAACCCCTTAGACTGTTAAGCTCAGGTCAGCAGTTCGAATCTAGCAGGCACTCCACAGGAGAATGAAGCTTTCTGCTCTGGTAAAGATGTAAAAGATATACAGCCTTGTGTGTGGGGTGAAGGGTGGAAAGAGAATTATTCATGGGCTAGACAGTAGAATCTATGAACATGGGTGACAGGGCAGGCAATATATAAGAGCAAGGTTGGCAGAGGAAAGATGAAGGTAGCGGGAGGCACAGGAGGAATGCAAAAGTTAAAGGGAATATAGGTAAACACTGAATTGATGGGACATGGAGGGGATTGCAATCATTGTAATGAAGCAAAGTATATGATTTGCTGAATGTAATAATGATAATCTGTAAACCTTCACCATAAAGTTAAGTTTAGCATTGGAAACCTTCACAATGAGTCGGAACTAACTAGATGGCATACCGCCACCACCATTCTTAACTAGTTGTTTTTCATAATCTTATCAGCAAAAAAAGATACAGAATTAGTGTTTATAGGTATAATCATGCCAATTATAACCAACTAGCTAAGTTACATGCATACCAAGAACTTACTTAGCAAAAGAGAAATATTGTGCTCTAATGTATAATGATATAACAGAGATGGACAAAGGTTGAAACTAAGACAACATATTAAAAACAGATTTTTTTCTGCAGAGATGAGTACCACAAAAGTCAGGAAAAAACACATATCTTTATTCTTAGTGTTTTTCTTTTTTAAAATTGGATCATTTTCAGTCGCTAACAACATTACAAATCTCTTGTCATTTGGGTATTTACAAATTGACTTTGGATTCAACAATTCAAATACTTTTTTGTGTGACACTGATTGCAGTCCCCACAACAGCATTTTCCCCACTTCCTCCATATTTACTGTCTCCACTCATCCTTTCAGTCCCCTCCAGCTTTGCTATCCCTCCCTGGGTAGATGTTGCCCTTTTGATCTCATCTGGTTTACCTAACAGGCTTTCTTGGCTGAAAGTTGAACCACAGCAGTGAGTTAAGTTCCAGGATAGAAGGGGATTAAGGGCTGTATGTTCAGGGATCTCCCAGTCTTTATCAGATCTCGGACAACTCTATCCAGAGTCTTCTATTGGGATCCCTTTCCGAGTGGTCAGCAGTGATAATCAGGCACCATATCTAGTTGTGGGTCATGGAGCCTGGGGTTCTTTCTCATCATTTATTAGTCCTCTTAACTGTTTCCTTGTGCCTTTTAGTTTACTCACTTTTCTTTGCTCCAGATGAGGTTAACATTATGAATCTTCAAGTGTTCTGCAGTTTATATGTAACCTTTTATGGCACTCTGATTTCCTTAAACAAATCTTGCTTCCCCCCACCCCCCCAGCCTGGTATACAAATCTGTAACTACTAGAACTTTCTGGAATGCAATTTCTTTACTAAGTAGAGAAGTTTCATGGGCATTTTGATAAGAACACAATTTCTATTGTTCTGAGGGATACCAAACCATGTCATATGTCCCTCCACCCCATCCTCACACACACAATATTTCAGGTATGGCTGCTGCCACTTTCTTCCCTTCCACAAGTGAGCTGTATCTTTGCTGAAATGCATATATAATAAAGTAGGAAAATTTTTTTGCACCTTTATTTCCCAATATTTGGACATTCCTTCCTGAAACTGTTGCCTCCTTTTAATGGCCGCACTATATGAACCCTAATTTACCAGTTCTTTATTGGTGAAGTTTGAATTTCTTTCTAATCTTGTTATGATGATGCCCTTTTTCACTTGAATGTGAGCTCCTCCTAGAATAAGGATTTTTTAGTATTTTTCAATCCTGAAACTTAGAATAATGCTCAACAGATATTTAACATGTGTTTGGAGAATGATACTGTTGAAAAATAGTGATTGCTTCCTTCATTTTTAACCACACAATGTACAAAGTACATGGTGTACTTGATTAGGTGTTTATCATAGTGTTTTATTGGAGTCCAGGTGTGGCGCTATAGGATAAGCACTGGACCACAAACAAGGTCAGTTTGAACTGCAAGATTGGAGGTTCAAACTCACCTGCTGTTCCTCGAAATCCCTATATACGGTCACTATGAATCTGAAATGACTCAACAACACTTAACAACATTGTAGTGTTTACAATGACACCTAACAAACACCTAGAAGAGGAACTATTTGATACTATGACTTAGTATCAAAGTGTGTATTTTAAATGTTTGTTATTCAAAAGTTTTTTCACAACATTTAAGTGATTAACACTATAATCTTTATAGGAGTGGGTTTGCCAAGTCTTTCAACTGCAGTATTAATTGGTAGGTTCAAACCACCAACCTTTAGGTTAATAGCTAAGCACTTAAAATATTCTGCCACCAAGCGATGAAATATTATTGCTTTCATCAAGTGTTAGCATGATGCTTTACACATTCATACTGTTAAAAATTGAGTGGACCAAGGAGCCATAGTTAAATGAGAAAGTATTGTTTCAGATTATATTTTATGATCATATGTACAAAAAGCTTGATTAATATGCTTAGGGAAAGAAGGCCCCAGAGAATAGGTGCAATTAAAAGGGAACCATCCTTTATCATCAGTAACATTAATTAGTATTTTACATTAGCTCCTTGTCTTCACATACCGTGAGGGAGATACCTTTATATCTTCATTTGATAGATGAAGCTGAGGCACAGAGAGGTTAAATGACTTTCCAAATCACACAGCTGAGATTAGAAACCAAGCATACGGACTCCAAAGCCCATCTTTAAAAGCTGTGTGTTTATAGTAATAGAAAGGTGAAGACACGCTGAAGAACGGGTGCCAAAACACCAAGTATATAGTGTCATTTGGACAGCATCAAGCAGAGTTCAGTGTAACTTAGGCACTGTTGGAGGTGATTATATAATGATACATGGTAGGAAAAACAGGCTGAAAAGTTAGGCTGAGTATAAATTTGACTCACATATTGACCAAACATGGTATTTCCAAACAAGAAAAACAATAACTGTAAAAGAGAACAGACTTCATTTCTTTTTCTGAGCTTGCTCTGGCATGGTGGTAATCTCTGGTTTCAGTGTTTTGTTCACAGTGAGGACTTGAGGTCTTTTTGTCCTTTCAAAACTATAGCATTCAGTTTTGTCTTCAGAGGATATTGTTCTAGTGACCAGATGGAAGCCTTCCTTTAGTACAGTATCAATCAGTAAGCCAAGAACATTAGTTCCATTGGCCAGTTTTCGGTTATCAGGTTTTATAGAAACATACCTAGGACACACAAAAAAAATTTCATTATAAAACATGCCTTCAGTAACTCCTAAAAGTACAACCATAAATTTGACTTACGACCTTAAGCACAGGCAGCATACTATTCATCTATTAGTTGTGGGGGTTTTTTTTGGATTTACAAATGTTGTTAAGTCTTCGTCAAGTTGGTTTCAATCCATAGCCACTCTGTGTAAGGTTTCCCAGGAGCGGCTGGTGAGTTTGAACTGCCGACTTTTACAGTCCAATGAATTAACCCACAGCACCATACCATGACTCCTTATTTATAAACACAAATTTTCATTTTCAGTACCCTTTTCCATTTGATTATTTGTATTATTTGCAAATACTAATCAGTTAACAGCAGGGTACTGAAAATAAAAACCTGATCTCCAAAGTCACTTTAATTCCATATTTAAAATATAACACTGGTGCGTTTTAAATGAGAAATTATTTTCTGGACAATTTGATAATTCAACTGGCTTAATTTTTTATATAGTTTAATTTATTTCCAATTTACTAAATTTTGTTTTTAAACAAGGATCAGTTGTTGTTATATAACTTGTATAATAGAGGTCATACATATAGTTTTCACTATATCTAATTTTACCAATTATTAGCACCTGACATTATAGATTTTCTCATGTGACTATCAATTTTTTTTTTTTTTGGAAGGGGGTGAAAATTTACACATGATGTCAAAAGCATCATTTCTCAGACTGCGCTAAAATAGTTACAGCTTTATGGCTGTAACTCTATAATTAGCTTTACATATCCTTCCTTGGGGTCCTGGTGTGGTGTGGGTTAATGCACTGGACTGCAAGGTTGGTTTGAACCTCAGTGTCAGCTGTTCAGGCTCATCAGTCGCTCCTCAGAAACCCTATACAGCATTGCTTAACAATAATCTTTCCTTATGTTGGACTCATCTCTATAGCAGTGGGTTTGGTTTTTGTGTTTTTATATACCATTATCTCTGTACCCTCTCACCATTTACTTATTAAATGTAAAGAAAAGACTAAAATTAGTTAAAACTGCAACTTAAACTCTCTGTAGTTTTATGGTATAAAAAGATCGCTTGGAATATCCTGAGCCTTTTTAAGTATCATGATTCAAACAACGATTATTATAGCTAATATTCAGAAACTCACCCTAGGCAAAGAACACATAGTAAAATCTAAGAATTATTGACAAATAAAGCACATCTCAAAAAAAATGTTTATTATATTTGATACAGCAAAATTTTAACATTAGTAAATCATTTCATTAGTATATTCACCCAAAGACCCAGATCTTGACTGTGTACAGTCTAAACAACATTTGTCTAAAAGAAAAAACATACCAAGAGATCTTACAAAAGAACTGAGATACAAAAAGCATATAACAGGTAGTTACTAAATGGTATGAAACTTGTAAGAAACCGTAGAGAAAAAAGTACTCAATTTCTCTTCCAAGGCAAGGCCAGACTGGAAATTACAAGATTACAAGGTACAAGAAAAGTATAGAAACCAGCGGGGAATTAAATAATCAAAAACTACTGTTAAAATTTACAAGACAACTATACTTTTCCATTTAAAACACTTTAAAAAGGAGATACCAGATGAACTAGATTAAAACACTAATGAAAGAGATGCTAGAATCCTGTGATCATAACTTGAGCTTGATAATAAGGGATCACATGAATAGCCAATTACAAGAACATGCCAAGTATTTCTAGTACTTTGAACTTATGAGATAAACAACTAAGCAACCTTCAAGGTTAACCAGACACCTTACAGTGATCAATCATATTGGTAGACTATATACTGAATTGCTACTTTGAAGAGCCATTTGGCCTCACTCCTCTATCTTCTACCTTCCAAAACATCTGAATAGAAAGATTCAGACCAGGGAGTCAAAAACAAAAGCAAATGCTAGCTAGGCTGCTATAGCCTCTGATTTTAAAATTATCTATTTTGGAAGTTTAAACATAATGCTATTCTCACATTAAGAAAAAAACTTGCACCATTTCTGAAAAACACTTAACAAACAAAAGGAAAACCACTTGGCAATGTACACACAGGAATCTTGTTTTTCAAGATTATAATTACTTCCTCTTAAGGCATAGTTGTTAAGGAGCTCTGGTGGCGTAGTGGTTACAAATCCGGCTGCTAACCTCAGGGGGCAGCAGTTCGAAACTACCAGCTGTTCTGCAGGAGAAAGATGAGGCTTTCTGTTCCCATAAAGATTTACAGCCTCAGAAACCCTGTGCAGGGTTGCTATTGAGTCGGAGCCAACTCCATGGCACATAACAACAAGGCAGAGTTTTAAGGAACAGTCAACATCTCCAAGACATTTTTTCTCTTTGTCCTAATGTTTCTTCCTAAAATCAGTAATATTTTCCCTTAGGTTTCTAAGTTCTTGAAAAACAGATCCTTAAGAGGTCTTATCACACAATAAAAATTAAAGAAAGCAAAAGACTAGCTTTTCTGCTTATTAGTGTCCCACCAATGAAAAAAAAAAAAAAGGTACATAGATGTATTAACAGTGAGATACAGATAGAGCCTTTGGTTTTCTTCATAATCAGCATATCTGACTGGCTCTCTTTACCCAGAATGGCATTGCAATCTGTTTGGAAGGGTGAGAAATTATCAATTGTAGAAACTGATTGTCATCCTGGGTCATGCCAGTGTTCTCCTGTTAAGCAGCATGCTGTGAGTGAGGTCGACTGATACTCTTCCTGACGGCTATCGCTGACATTCAGAAATATACCCAACATGTCTACCTTTACAAAATAAAAAAAAACACAATTGTACTTTATCTGTAAGGAATGAAGGCAGGTGGATTTTTTTTTCCTCCTAAAAAATGGGAAACCAGCTTTCAGTTAGAAAAATGGTAGGACAGTATTAAGAAATTTTAAGGGAACAACAATCGAGAATGTACCAAAAGTTCTTTGCCATCACCTCTGATTTACTCACCAGCCATTCCACAGACGGTAGATGAAGCAGACAGTCTGTTTCTATAGTTTTACTGTCTCAAGAGACCCTATGGAATAACTCTCTTAGAGTGTAATGAATTAGAATTGATCCAATGGCAGTGGGTTTGGTTTTTATCTTAGCAACAGACTGTCACATCTTTTCCCAGGAAGAGCAGCTAGTGGATTCAAACAGCTTACCTTTCAGTTGGCAGCCGAGCACTTACCCGCTGTACCACCAATGTTCCTGATAAGGATATATGTATTGTTAAGTGTCATTAAATTGGTTCTGACTTTGTAGCAAACCTGCTGAGGGTTTCTGAGGAGTGGTGTTTGAACCACTGACCTGACAATGTTGTTATATGTCATGGAGTCGGTTCCGACTCATAGCAACCCTGCACAGGGTTTCCGAGGCTGTAAATCTTTATGGGAGCAGAAAGCCTCATCTTTCTCCCACAGAGCAACTGGTAGTTTCGAACTGCTAACCCTTAGGTTAGCAGCCCGATTTGTAACCACCATGTTACCAGAGCTCCTTGTAGGCTCTTTATAAGAGTGTTTACAAGGAGCCCTAGTAGCATAGTGTATTAAGAGCGGGGCTGCTTAACTGCAAGGTCAGCAGTTTAAATCTACCAGTTGCTCTGTGGGAGAAAGATGAAACTTTCTGCTTCTGTAAAGATTTACAGCCTCAGAAACCCTATATAGGATTATAGTCGGAACCAAATGGGTGGCACACAACCACTACTACCACCAAAAGAATGTTTAAAAAAAGGTAATGAATAAAAAAATCAATTCATAATGACTGAAATAATAAATATGCATACTGTGAGAGGCAATCAGAGATGAAACTACTGAGCCTTTACTATATAGAATCTCTTGAGGGAACAAGTGTTTCATTCCTAAGGCAAATTCATTAGCAATGGAACAATTTATAAAATTATTTCCTACTACAACTGGGCAGTTTTCTCAGGACTGTCTATGTTTACTCTTAGTTATGCCACATAGTAACAGCATTCCCTTTCACTTTGAAAAGTGTCCAGGTCTGGACAATAATTAGCCATTCTATTTATAACCAACTATACTGGTTACACTCAAACATTGTTTTGAGTAGTCATTTTTCAGTTTCAGTCATGGGAGCTTTTTGCTTAGAGGGAAGAGAGATACTTCAAAGTACAAAATACCTGATTCCGGTTTGGTTATCAGATGTGCTGTCAGAGCCACACTGGAAAACCAGGTCATGGTAAGAAGGTCTTTGTGGAGGCAGTGGAAGTAAGGTCATCTGAGGAAAAGAACTAGTACTCCAGGAGGGTGCTGAAGGTTGCTCTACAAATACTGTAATCTTCCCGGTTAATATCTCAATTGTTTTGCTGCAAGAGCCAAATACTCTGAAAAAAGCTTGAGTGTTTCTGCACAAGAAATGCACCTCCAAAAGCACAGGTTTGGGCTGTAGCAGAAGTTCTTGGTTTAAGAGATCAACCAGGGAATCAAGTTCATAGAAAAAAGCCTCCCTCTGAAGCCTAAGATAGTCTGAAAAATCAGTAGGTAATAAAAGCTGGTGAGTTCTCAGAAATTCTAAGATAAAACTAAATAAAACACCATCTCTGTCTACAAAAATCTGTCCACCAATCATCCTGACTTCTTGGTCTCTACCATCTAACATTCGTACTAATCGAGAAGCAGGAAACTGCCTAAGAGTAGCAGACTTTGTTGTGAATATCTTCCCTCCCACATTCAGTGTGACCAGGTCCTCACTACTCATTCTTCCCTTGCTTCAAGTTAGAGGCTACGAACCACCCAGACTTCATGAATTTATAATCTACCTACAACTATAAATGTTGCTAGTTACATATGATTACGAAACAGAGAGGAGGGGAGAATAACAGAGATAAGAGACCTAAATTTCCAGGTAACTATTATAAAGCAAATAGCATATCCATAGCTATGTTTACAAATTTGAGTTGCTTGGGAACTTGTAGTACACAAACTCAAAGGAGCAACAGATTGAGGAACTGAACAGCAGAATAAGTAAAGCTGCCATTATAGCTAATAAATAAGATCCCTTTTCTTTATTCCATTAAAAAAAAAACAACAACACACACACCATGAAAATGATAGAAATCTGTATTAAAAAATATATCCTGGGAGCAAAAAAGGAGCCATTTGCCCCATACTTCTTGTTTACTATGAATCTCTCAACTAAGCAAACCCATAGATTTACAGAGACACAGTGTTTAATTCTCTGAAATTCTATTCCACTTAATAACCTTTTAAAAAGTAAGGCAGAGTAGAAAGCAATTCTAAAATAAGGTGGCTTCTTTATTATCATCTGAATTCTAAGCAAGGTAAGAAAATTTAATTTTTATTCTGTGGTAGATGGGTATCTTTCATGGGAGTAGAGAAGACACCCTTAGTGTTTAGCTGGTTACTTTGCATTTCATAGCATCTACTTCATCCATTGTCAAATTAGTCTCTTACTAGTCTTTAACACTTCTTATCCCTTTGGTAACCAATGTACAACTGGAGAAAAGGTGGGCTGCAATCTCCACCTTCCTAAAAATGTAAACTTGTCACAAGGTGATACTAATTTTTATTTACATTAGGTTTATGTTTTAGCAATCATGGGATCAACCTTTTTTTTAAAAAAGGAAATTCAATCCATTTATAACTTGTCTTTTTTTTATAACTGTCTTTCCTTTTTTAAAGAATGTTAACTATCAAAATAAAAATTACAAAAGTAGCCTGGATTGCATATTTGATGATCACTAGTAAACCACCTCACTAATACAACGCTAGATCAAATTCTTTCACCTCCCAGTTTTAGCAGTATAAACTTAGTATGGTGGGAAGGTGCTTATTTCAAAGTATTCTTTAAAAAACACTTCATACCATATAAATTTCATTTTTTCTTCATGCTACATAACTTGATAGGGCATTATTTTTGAAAGGTATACTTTTGAATATCTGACTGGAATTGTTACCGAATATGAACTACTACTCTGTGCTCTTAACAAATTCCTGACAACAAAGGACAGAGTATTGTTTACTTGAAACAGATTTTATAAGAGTTTATATTTGCATACAAATTCTGCCACATTATTCAGCAACATCAAAGTATAATTCTTGAATCGTTCACTGAAAATGTAAATCCCATCTACCACCTGTTCCCAGTAAAAAACTGATTGTTCTAAAACATCAGCAGACTTAATCAGATAGCGGGAACTGAAGTTTGAAAGATGTTCTTTCCAAGCTACAAATTCATCAAATAAAAAGCATTCCAGGGATATAGCAGGGCCAAAAGAAATAAGAAGGACAATCAGAAGTAGTACTACAAATATCTGATAAAAGCTCCAGGGAATCTTGCTAACGAATATGCCAGTGTCTTGAGGCAAAGAAAGTTTATCCACATCTACTAATTTTATATCTTCCCACTGACTGGTATCAAAGTTCTTCATTAAGGGGTTTGTTGGCAAGTTAGAGGGAGGTAAAGGAGTTTCCTTAATTACTTTGATTTTCTCCCTGAACTCTTGCATCTGTTGTAAAAATATAATGGGTTCTGACACATCTTTGAAAGCCTCAGCAATATTAAAGGCCATTCGTTGCTCCTGCAAGATAGTGTTGAGTTTGTTGATCTCTGGGTCATAGGCTTGCATAACTGCAAGTTTCATGGTCTCAAAGTCAGATAAGATTTCATTCTTCTTTTGATCCAATGTGTGTTGTAATTTCTCAAAAAACTCCTTCACTTTATCTGAATCTTTAGTCAGTAGCTGTAGGGATTTCCTTTTGCTAGTTTCCAAGGTATCCAAGCGAGAAAGAGCATCTCCCCGCCGCCAGGTCTCAAAACTCTGGAAGAGAGACTCAAAGGCATTTCTTTCCTGAGCATAGGCATCTTCAATAGAACAGAAAATATGCTTAGTATGGTCTCCACGAGTAGCACAAATCCCACAGATCAGCTGCATATCAGTCAGACAGAAAATGTTAAGAGGCTGCCCCAAGTGGCCTTTGCACACTGGCATTTTGGGAGAGATTCTGATTTTGTTATACTTTTCTACAATACCCTTCAGGGAGTAGTTGACCTGTAGGCTATTGACTCCAGTAGCTGAAGTTTCTTTTCGGCAAGTAGGACACTTGAACGGAGATGGTCTCCACAATGAATTCCGCACATTCCCTTCTAAGAGCCCCTCTAAACATTTTTTGCAGAAGTTGTGCGAGCAGGGCAAAACTCGAGGATCATCAAATAGACTGCAACAAATTGGGCACGTGAGATCTTCTTCAAGCAGCTCCATCACATCCTACCACAGAAAAAGAAAGTTTATTTTACTCTAGTAACCCCTCTAATAGAACCTACAAAATAATTAGAAAAAGCTATCTTCACATGCATTGAAAATTATTATTTTACTGAAATAACCTGCTAAACAAAAGCAAGTAAGTGAGAAATTTAGGAAGGGAATGCAAACCAAAGCAAATTTAGTCCACTGGAACTAGAACACACTCCTATTAGTAGGACACTCACACACACAAGGCCTTTGTGTGGACTTTCCATCAACAGTCTTTGGCTGAGGCAGGGTTAGGTCTAGGACAACTGCAAGTTGAACCAGCGGGACCCAACCAATTGTTTTAAAACAGAGAGCTGACTACTAGCTATCAGAAACAAAGCTACTCTGTCTGAATAGAATGAGCTCTTTACTGAGCCCACAAATATAAAATGGTAAAAAGCAGCACAGAAAATATAAATTCAAGCATGTGCTCAGGAATTGGCATGTTTTTCTATTTCAAAGGCATTACTACAGTTAGTAAAATCATACATAAAAACACAAGATGAGAGAACTGCAACTCTCTTTTCCCTAGATGATTAAGTAAGTGACTTGTTTTTTAATTTCAGAAAAGTTATCAAAGTCAGTTAGCACTACCCTTGAGCATTCATTAAATGGTCTGAGGAAACCTAGTGCCTCTAAGAAACTTTTAGGGCATTCATGAGTTCAAAACTATTTTCATAATAGTAAGATGCTATCTAACTTTGCACAATGTTGACTTCTGAACAAAAGCAGCTGTGGGTAAACAACTGTTAAGCCTTAGCAAGAATCAAACAAGGCTGTAAATAGCACTATGTAGTAACTACTTTTGTTGTTAGGCGTCATCAAGTTGATTCCAACCCATACTGACCCAGTATAGGGTTTCTGAAGAACGGTTGGTGAGCTTGAAACGCTGACCTTGTATCTCAAATAACTTTGCATCCCAGCACATTAACCCACAGTGCACACCAGGACTCCTCTACTCCTCTAGACTGTTGTTGTTAAGTGCTGTCGAGTCGCTTCATACCCATAGCGACCCTGTACAGGATTTCCAGGGCTGTAAATCTTTATGGGTGCAGAAAGCCTCATCTTTCTCCAGTGGAGCGGCTGGTAGTTTTGAACTGTTGACCTTAAGGTTTGCAGCCCAATTCGTAACCACTACGCTACCAGAGCTCCACTCCTCTAGAATAGTAGTCATTATATTCTTCTAACACACCAAACAAGACATGGATGAGGCAATACAGTCAAAGTTAACCTTATTAAATCTAGATCCTTGGGTATCAGTCAGACAGAAAATGTTAAGAGGCTGCCCCAACTGGCCTTTGCACATTGGCATTTTGGGAGAGATTCTTTTGATTTTGATGTTTCATGATAAAACGAAGTACACATAAAGCATTTCTGCTCCATATTAGCAGATACTGTCTACAGGGAAAAAATTTGAGCTGCAAGTTGAACCAGCCACTTTATTCGTGGAACATCCATTTCTACTTTAAAGAACAATTTAAAGATGCTATCTCAGAGACAGTTTCTTAAAAACTAACAAAATGAGCCTGTCATGGCAAGGGAAATAAATAACGGATATTTCTTACAAAGATAAAAATTGAAGTTTTATAAATTAGAATTTTGGAAATTTTTATTTGCCACTGTGAGCTTGAGTTTTCCATTAAGGTTTTTTCTGGTGTTACTGGCAAATGAGCTTGCTTGGTAGGGATACTGTGTAATGAAAATAGATCTGTATAACACCATTAACCACTATTCTTTCAAATCACCGATGCATGTTATAAATCACACATGAATTAAAAAAAAATCCATTAAAAGTACAAGAAATCAAAAGGCTCAACATTATGAATTCAGAGTCCACGTTGTAACTAACTTTAAGAGATTACAATTTGTTTTGATTTTGATATACTATCAGAGAACATCTAAGGAGCCCTGGTGGCACCACTGTATGTTAGGCAATGAGGTTCAAACCTACCAGCAGCTCCCCAGGATGAAGAGAAAGCTGTCTGTTCCTATAAAGAATTAACCTCCAGAAACCCTCTGTCCTACAGAGTTGCTGTGTCAGAATTGACTCAATGGCACTGCGCTACCATATTTGTGAGGCCAGACATTTTTTACATAGTAAAACCTGTACAACAGGGCCATACCCGAGTTGTCTCACAGGTTTCGCTGTTTATTTCAACCACAATATTTTAATGCAATAGACTGAATACATAAGACTCATTGTCTTCTATTAAGCAATTCGCTTACGAAATCTCTAAGTAGGTAAAGCTTATTTTTTTTTGCTTTGAAAAAGTCACTACTATAAATTATTTAACATGTAATGGGTTTATTAAATATTTCTGGACTGCAAAGCTGTTTGAACTGCAAGGTCAGTGGTTCAAGCTCACCAGCTGTTCCTCAGAAACCCTATACAGGGTCACTATGGGTTGGAATCAACTCAGAGAGGCACTAACAATCTTACAATAATAAAAAGGAGATCTGGTAGCGTAGTGGTTATGAGTTGAGCTGCTAATCTCAAGGTCAGCAGTTTGAAACTATCAGCTGTTACGCAGAAGACAGATGAGGCTTTAAGCTCCTGTAAAGATTTATAGCCCCAGAAAACCTATGCGGGTTCTCTATGAGTTGGAACTGACTTCACGGCACACCACCACCACCCACCACCAATCTTAAAGGGCACCCATTTTTCGCTGTAGGATAGGCACTAGACCACAAGGTTGGTTTGAACCACAAGAACAACGATTCAAACTTATCAGCTGCTCCTCAGAACCCCTAAACAGAGCTGCTGTGAGTTGGAACCAACTTGATGGAACAACAATAACTATCTTTCTTAACCTCTCAATTTTAATTTCTAACACAGTAAATATCTGTAGACCGAGCCCACATAAAGAAAAGTTTTGGGGATTCTCAATTTTTAAATGTGAAAGGATCCTGAGACCAAAAAATTTGAGACCCTTGGCCCTGATCTTCTCCAAAGAAGTAGCTGGTGGATTCGAACCACCAACCTTTCAGCTAGCAGCCCAACACTTAACCCACTGTGCCATCAGGGTTCCTTTAAAACTAAACAGTGCTAAGTCTTAAGTATTACTTTATTCAGTTTACTCAAGGATACATATGATCCTAGTTGGCAAAGAGGTTAAATGCTCAGCTGCAAACTGAAAAGTTAGAGACTCAAGTCTACCCAGTGGTGCACAGTGAACTACTTCCTGAAAATCATCTATTCTACTCATAAGTTTATAGCTAAAAGACGTGAAAGCAGATTCACAGAGATTTGCTCATTGTAATCTTCAATGCCGCTCTGCGGGAGAAAGATGAAGCTTTCTACTCCCGTAAAGATTTACACCCTCGGAAACCCTGTACAGGGTCGCTATGGGTCAGAACCAACTCGACGGCACTTAACAACAACAACAACAATCTTCAATGCAGCACACTATTCACAATAGTCGAAAGGTGGAAACAACTGAAATGCCCGCAAATGAACAGAAAAAGTAAATATGGTACACAAATACAACAGAATACTACTTAGCTAGTAGGAGAAATGATATTGTAATACATGTTACAGTATAGACAGAGCTGGAAGATATCATGTAGAGTGAAATATACATATAAATCATACACATACACACAAAACAAATACTATATGACCTCCCTTATACTGGTGTGGTGTTGTGGGTTAATGCACTAGACTACAAAGCCGTTTGAACTGCAAGGTTAGCAGTTTAAGCTTATCAGCTGCTCCTCAGAAACCCTGTACAGGGTCACTATTGACTTGATGGCATTTAACAACATACAGAAAGGCAAAAATAGGCAAATGTATAGAGACCAAAGTTTATTAGTGGTTATCTGGTGTATAGTGTTGTGGGTTAATGCGCTGGACTACAAGGTGGGTTTGAATTGTAAGGTCAGTGGTTCAAGCTTACCAGCTGCTCTTTGGAACCCTATACTTTTGTTGTTGTTGTTTATGTATAAAAGGAAGTTTTTATCAAGGAAATGGCTCACAACTGTAGAGGTGGGACAGTACCAAGTCCGGGTAAAATGAATCAAGATTGGCAGGTAGGTCCGATAGGCATGCAAACAGGTAGACAGACAAGCAGGTTGACATCATTGCTTAAGAATGTCTTATTCTCTTTCCACTGTCCTAATACTCTCCCCAGCAATCGCCTTTTGGTATTTTTTACAGAGAACAAGTACAAATGATAATTGTTTCATAATTGTTACAATTGTCTGTTTTCCTCTAGATTGTCTTTTCTGTTGCTGTTAGTGACACTACCAAGAGACTGAACTGCATAGAGCACTTACTGTATTTAGGATTGTGCTTTATGTTGTTGGTGTTATGTGTCTTCGAGTTGGTTCAGGCTCATAGCAACCATATGCACAATGAAGGGAACACTACCCTGTCCTATGCCATTGTCACAATTGCTGTTAAGCTTGAGTTTATGCTTAAGCTGCTGCCACTGTGCCAACCCATCTCATTGGGTGTCTTCCTCTTTCCTCTGACCTTTCACTTTACTTAGCATGACATCTTTCTCAAAGGACTGGACCTTCCTGATGATATGTCCAAAGTCTGAGAGATGAAGTCTCACCATCCTGACTTCTAAGGAAAATTTTACTGTTCTTCCAACACAGCTTTATTTGTTCTCCTAGAAGTTCAGAGTACTTTTAAATTCTTCTCCAATACCATAATTCAAATGTACCAACTCTTCTATGATCTTCCTTATTCACGGTCCAACTTCACATGCATATGAAGCTAATGACAATACTATGATCATGCCAGGCATATCGTAGTCCAAAAACTGTCCATCTTTGCTCTTGAACACTTTGAAGAAGTCTTGTGCAGTAGATTTGCATAATGCAATACTTTGATTTTTTGACTCTAGCTTCCACTGAGTGTTGATAATGGATCCAAGCAAAATGTCTTTTGACAACATGAATCTTTCTTCATTTATCATGATGTTATTTACTGGTCCAGTTATGATGATTTTTTGTTTTCTTTACATTG